CTCGTCCCGCGGATCGCCCGGGGAGAATGAGGGGGCGAAATGCCGCGCGGTCCCGCCCGAACCCGGACGGCTGCGCAGCTCGACGCGGCGCTTCGCGCGCGCACGCGGAGGTTGCGGGGATTCGCGCCGCGCCCCGCCTCGCGCCGGCGGGCGCCTCGCCCAGCCCCAGAGGCCACCCACGGTCCAAGGTGGTCGCCGCTGCTCCCAAGGCCGCCAAGATGGCCCCCAAAGGACCGAATAATGGGAGCTCGTCGGCGCGTCGTCGTCGTCGTCCTCCTTAGGGTCGGCGGCACTGGCCCTTCTCCTCTTTTCCTAATTCAGTCAGCGAGCCAACCCGCTTGCAGATTGCATGGGCACTGGGTCACTGGCAGGCAAGGCGAAGCTGGGAACACCGGTCGTTCGTTGCCACACTCTGATCAGGCCCCCAAGAGGCTCTCCCTCAAGGGGCTCCCAGGTGCCCTCGAGAGGCCTCAACACGCTCCCAATTAGCTTCAAGAGGACGCCTCAACGACCGCAAGAGGTCTCGATGAGGCCTCTAGGAGGCATCAGATTCATGAGCCAGGCCCGCTTGCGGGGCGGGCCGAAGGCCACAATATACCTAAGCCCCGCAGTTGCGGATGAGAGTGTGGGGGCGCCCGATCTGCTTTGCCAGGGCAGGGCGGTCACCGAATGCATCCGAACGTTGGTGGCCTCCCAAGCCAGTGCAGAACAGCCCGCCGCAGGCGCTGTTTTCGGTCAGAACAGTGGTCGCGGGTTGGTCGTCGGCGGATCGCGCTGTTTCAGGCCAATACAAAGCAGTCCGCCCCGCAAGCACCAACTTTTTCAAAACAACGTAATCAGGTGGATCGCACGTGGGTCGTCGGCTGATCGCGCGGGCTGGTACGAACAATGGTTCCTCCAAAGCCAAGCCAGCACAGCCCGCCACTGGCTCCGACTTGTTCAAAAAAGCGTGGGTGGGTCGCAAGTGTGTCGTTGGCGTCGCTGGGCGGATCGGGTAGGTCGCGGCGCGGGTCGCGGGCAGGGTGCCGCGTGGGTCGTCGGGCGGGTCGCTAGGTGAATTGCGGGTGAGTCGCGGAGTGGGTCGCAAGTGACGGGTGGGTCGCATGCGGGTCGACGACGGCAAAGCAACAACGACGAACATCAGCACCGCGGAAGCGCACTACAGCCATACACCCAGATACAATGTTTGGACCTCCCTAAAATACGCTCACGCACCCACACTCAATACACACAGAATACACAATTGCAAAAGTGCGAAGCCACGCCAAGCCACAACGTGACACAACACAATCACGTGAATACAGCAATGAAGCCTCCGAACCAAGCACATCGGCAAAGACAAGCCATCAGAACAACACAACACATGATAACACAACATCGCTCACTCTGGTGCGTACAAGCTAGCACACACATGCTCGAAATCCATCTTGCACACAGAAATGTACCGTCACACATTCCTCTCACACGTAATCGGCCTTAAACACTGGGAGAAAGGCATAGCTCACTCGCGCGAATGCAAACATCGAATATGCACAACGTGGGGAAACGCATTAGTTGCAACACAGGAGGAAGAACGTCAGACAACCTGCACCATTTTTCAGATGGGCTATAAACGCATGCCGCCGTGGTCCTGTTGCAGTGCGCGAAAAGAGGGCACAATCCATTAGCAAGTCTAGGCCTAACAGGTGCCAGGACTGTGGCTGTCGATGGTCCAGTGTTTGCAACCTGTGGCGAAGCGACACGAAGAAGACTTACCCAGGACCTGATCGCCTTCGGTCATCATTGTCATGGCTCTCCATCTTGGAAGCGGCTGGGGTGTCCGCGCTGGGTGGGCCCCGAGGGAATCGGACGAGCGCGGGGCGGGGACGAGAGCAAGTCCGGTCAAAACCGGACACACGACCCCTCCCACGGTCGAAACTGACAGGTCTCTCGAGCCGCTTGGCTTCCAGCCGTGGCGACGAGGCGGCCCTTCCTCCCCTCAGTCTGCTGGCTGGAACCAATGCTGGGCCACATCAGCCCCCCCCAGCCTCCCAGCCAGCTGCTAGTTATGCCCCTCCCTCCCTCCCTCCCTCACTCCCCTCTCTCCCTCTCTCCCTCCCTCCCTCCCTCCCTCTCTCCCTCCCTCCCCTCCCTCCCTCCCCTCTCTCCCCCCCTCTCTCCCTCCCTCTCTCCCTCCCTCCCTCCCTTCTCTCCCTCTCTCTCACCCACCCCCTGCGTCCTTTGAGTACCTCGTGGAGCGCAGGCGTCTTCTCCACCCCCTTCTCCCCTCTTCTCTCTTCTTCTCCCCTGCAACTGCTGCTCGTCTTCCTCCGCCTCCCTGTCCTTGATCTTCTCTTTGGGGAGCGTTAGAGGGGGAAACGTCGCGCTCGAATCGGCCTTGTAGCGCCGATAGATCGGCGATCTGCCCCTGCTTGCGAATCCGCACGTGCCGGGGCGGTGTGGGCTACCAGGTCCCTATCGGCGATCAGTGGGCGATTCGGTGCCGATGCATCCCCCCCTGAGCCTCTCCCCCCCCTACGTTGCCACTGGTCAGGCGACGTGGCTGTTGTCTCGACACCAACAACGCTGCTCACCATCGGCGTCCCTGGGCATCCATATTTACAAGATGACCCAAGATCGAATCGGAAAGTTGAATCAGCAATGGAAGTACGCCTAATTGGCAGAAATCGGTCGGCAAATCGGAAGGCATCGAAATCGACGCCCGGCTGTCCGAGCCGAGACCCAAACCGAAGCCGGAATCTTGAGTCGAATCAAGATCGAAATACTTGACATCGAGTCGGCTCGAGTCGACAGAGTCGAATTGGTTCCTGTATTTGCTCGTTGGGCGGGAGCGCCCGCCGAGGAACACTGGACGCATCACGCTGGAGATGTCCATCGCCATCTTCCTGCGCTGCCCCGACGCCCACGCTGCCAACAGCCAGGTGCGAGGCATGCGTGCCGAGTCGGGGCACGCGCCTCGGCAGCAGCCAGAGGTGCAAGGTCCGCACGCCCAGGCTGGGCAGCACAGTCGCCCGTCTTCCCCCCCTGCTGTCCTCGAAGGGCCGTCCGGCGTGCGGCCATGTCGGGCCCTCGCCGCACGAGAACGGCGCGCGCCTGCAGGCTGCCGTGCGTCCGATGTGCCCTGAAGCTGCACCTGGCTGGCGCCACCACCC